AGCTGTATGCATCTGATTATTGCTAGTCATAATCAGTTGCACTTGTATCTTGGCACCTGTGTATGTCTATAAAGTCATCGGGCAGATTTCAATAGTATTGTTTTATCACCTCTACTAATTAGCATGACGTAAATTTCCATGCTTCCTCCTCAAATAAAATACATTTTTAAAAATTTGTTGATTTTGTGTGTGCGTGTGTGTGTATATCATATAGAACATCCCAAACCATCTTATTCAACTGTATACCCACTTCCCAGATGGCACCCTCCCATAGCCTCCCTCCCCCCACTAGAGCCCTTATACTCTGATATCCCTGCTACTGTCCAGCAGGCAATTTTTATAAATAAAATTGGCAATCTGAATCGAAAATTGGGATATTGTATTTATGGAAATACAATCCAGAATAGTGAAAATAATTTTGAAAAGGAAACAGAGTTGTCAGCTCTACCAAGACTTACAACTATAATTAATAAGACAGTACTGACAGAATATTGGTATAGGGAAAGAGGATCCAGAAACAGACCCACACACAAGGTCAGAGCTTTTCAGTGGAAGCTCTGAAGTAACTTACCAAGGAAAGACAGCCGTTCAGCAGACGGCACTGGCTCAGGTTCCTCTGCAGACACTGAAGCTTTCTCTCTCAGAGCTTGTGACAATAATCCAATCCATGGGCCTTCACAGAGTATCTCTCAGAAACAGAAACAGATGGGGAAGGTAGATTTGAAGTAACCAGACATCAATATTTATTTTAAAATTATTGTAGTTAAGATTGTGTAGCTTTGGGATAATGGAACAGAGTGTGGAACTCAGGCTCCGGTGACATTACAGTTCAGTGGATGTAAAAGACAAACGTGAGAGGTGCTGCCTTCAGCTACACTAGATATTTGAAGCTTTAAGATATAAGTATGAATTCAAACTTTAAAAGGAAATTCTAAAAGGTTCCTTTCAGCCTTCTAGCTAAAGAAGGTGATAGAGACTGCAGGGTGTTAAGGACCTTAGACAATTAGTAAATTTGATCAGATTAAACTTAAAATACCTCCAGGAGATTATGATCAAAATAAAAAGATAGCCACCGACTGCCAGAAGACTGTGTAGCACCTAAAATCAATTACAACTTGATATCCAGAAACTTGAGAATCATCCTTCAGTTTGATAAAAAAACAGCCACCTGGTCTCTCAGAGAAGGAATAACCACTATACACCAACCACAGGTCAACAGAAACAACTCCAGACGCTCAGTTTTGGAACGATGCTCAACCTACATAGTAACATGAGAAATTGAGACTAAAACCTGCTCGCATCTGATGCAGAAAGATCGCTAGCACTGGCCCTGAATCGGGGTGTGAGGGCACATCGTCCACATGCTTCTGAAAGTGCAAATTCAAACTAGTCAGCATGGTAGGGTGAGCAGATTATCACCCATGTACTTCTGAAAGTGCAAATTCAAACTAGTCAGCATGGTAGGGTGAGCGGATTATCACCCAGCCATACACCTCACCTCCTGGCACTTACCTTGGATCAGTGTTTTCCCAAAGTGGGTCTTTACCTACTGGGTCATGAATTTTTCAACCAGAAACTTTCCTTTTTAATAAATTAGAATAACTTTTAAAAGGTTGCATTTCAAGTAGAAAGGGTAAACATCATTTCCTAAACCTTTTTTTTTTTCAACATATACTATGCTAAGAATGTATGGAGAGGATCCCATGTATCATGGGATGCATCATGTCTTGCCTCCTACTTGTGGGTGGAGGAGGATTTAAGGTCTAAAGAGCACAGACCATAATGGAAAAGACTGAGGTCTTGGTTTGAAAACCGTTGCTTAAAGTTTTCCTATAAGTACCTGTGAAATTATGAGCAAAAATGTTTAGACTGTTAATAATGAAAAACCGAAAATCTCAATGTCTAGCATAAAGAAGAATCAGCTATGGTATTTGTAAACAGTAGAATACTATATAACCTTGCAAATTCATGCTTTAGTCCTACATTTGCTACTGATAAACCCAAAACACAGAAGGTTAAATAAATTAATGCTCTAGAGCTGTGTGTGCGATTGGTAAACCTGAAATCCAAGGGGCTAAGTATGAAAAGTGGTTTACCGAAGATATATATTATGACTCTATTTGATGTAATAGACGGAAAACACAAAAACTTGCTCTAGGCTATTTGTGAATACAAACTTCAGTGGTAAAAGCAGGCAGATGGCGCAGGAATGACAGTCACCACATTCAAAATCACATCTACCTCTGTAGAGGGAGAAGAGAATGGTATCAAAGCAAATACAGCCTCTGCTGATTTTGTGATTGTTTGTATTAACATCTTTAAAATTAAAGCCTGTTATTAACATCTTATAAAACTGGAGGACACATGCACTGGGTTTGTGAGATTTCTTCTTATAAGTGGGCTACAAATCTGAAGTGTTTTTTTTTTAATATTTTATTTTTATAAATATTTTTAAAATGCTTTTATGTCTCCCTGTAGCCCCAGCTGTCCTGGAACTCACTATGTAGACAATAAGTGCACCCATGTCATGCAATGCCCCCAGAAGACAGAAGAGGCTGTCGGATGCCTTGGAACTGGAGTTATGGACAGTTATTAGCTGCCATGTGGGTGCTGGGATTTGAACCCGGGTCTTCTGCAAGAACAGTCAGTGTTCTTAACCACTGAGCCATCTCTCCAGCCCCCTGAAGTATTTTATAATCAGTATTTAGTATGGTTTAGGAAAGAAAATTAAGAAACGAAATCTAGAGACCTTCAAAAGTCAGTGTCACCATCACAAAATAGAATTGTATTTTACCGACATTGCAGGTCCTGTGGTTGCTGCCTGTCTTACTGGAGAAGAGTTTTCAGCCTTTGCTTTCCAAAGCTGTTCTCTTTGATGATAACATCCACTAACATTCTGGCTTTGTGTTAGGTTCAGATCTGAAGCTCTTGCCCTGTACCAGCAAAGCTCTCATGCCATACTGCCTGCATTTGATGCTAGCCTGCTTTAAGGTGAGCTTAAACTTGATTAGCGTGAAGCACATTTCCTTTGAAATAATGTCCTGAACAGCTGGTGTGTCTTGAATTGAGGCTTAATCACAATTGTTCTGTGCTTTTACAAGGCAAGTGGGTATAGTGGGAAAAGCACATGACTAGGAATTCGCAAGTAGAGGACTAGGAAATGATCTCCAGCCTTGAGAAGTCAATGTAAATATTGGGTTTATAGATGGACAAGGCGTTTGTTGATTTAGACATGAGGATCAGCACCAGCAAAGGTCAAACGGAGCTGGGAGGGTTCGAGGACTGCCGGAGTACTCACGGCCCTTGGCTGCAGAGGAATGGAAGCCCAGAGTAGAGATTTAACGGTTTCAAGGAGGCTTATCTGCAAAAAGGTGACAGGATCGGCTATTGCCTTATGCAGTATTTCCTCACTCACCTCATTGTTGGAGCCACTTGGAACAGCAGAAGCAGTCTGAAGAGTGATTTTTTATGCCTAGCTGCTCTTTTGTCCTTTTCTGTAGTTCATGCTTTTTACTGCTCAGCGTGTTCCCTTTTCCCTAATGCCGTGTTCTTCTCAAACCCTTCTCTCCCAGGTGGCTTCTTGCCCACTTTTCTGCTCACAGTCATCCCCTTCAGAGATACCTCTCAAGTTGAGTTCATAGTCCAGTTGGTAGTGTGCTTGCCTAGCACCCGTGAAACCCTGGCTTCAGCCCTCAGCATTGCACAGACCAGCCATGGTCATGCGTGCCTGTGATACCAGCACTCCAGGAAGTAAAGGCAGGAAGATCAGAAGTACAAAGTGCCCTCGGCTACATAAGGAGTACAAGGCTAGCCTAGGATCATGAGACCTTGTGACAAAGAAAAAAAAAGAATTCCTATTGAATTTATTTTCTGTGTGAGAGAATTCACCTTCATCTCTGATTCCCACACCCAGTTCTCCTGTTTATGGCCAACTTCAGTCTAAATACTGTCAGCCTCCTGTGCACACCCTGCAGAGGGAGCCCAGGGCTTCTTTGGGATCCACCCTCCTTAGAAGGGTGTGATATTCACCAGCAGTTTTTTCTGCTTTCTTCCCTACTGACTGTTGTGAAACGGCACAGCAGTTAAGAGCACTGGCTGTTCTTGCTGAAGACCCAGGTTTGAATCCCCAGCACCCATACAGCAGCAAACAACTTCCCGTAACTCCGGGTCCAGGGGATCTGACCCTCTTCTGTCCTCTGCAGGCATTTCATGACGGGTACACTTAGATACATGCAGGTAGATCACTCATACACAGAAAATAACAGTAAAAAATGTTAAATCTTTGTCTTGCAGCTGAGAGCTTTCACGGACAACAGAGACGACATGGCGCTGGGCCACGTGATTGTACTGCTCCAGCAGGAGTGGCCACGGGGAGAGAACCTTTTCCTGAAAGCTGTCAATAAGATTTGCCAGCAAGGAAATTTCCAATATGAGAATTTTTTCAATTATGTCACAAGTATCCTTTTTTCTCATTGAAGCACAACCACTTCTGAGTTGTTAGGACGAGGGCCTCTTGGATAAATGAACAGCATTCTGAGCAGAAATACCTCTTTTACTATGAGGGGGAGGAGGAGGAGAAAGAGTGGAGATTTGGAGCAAGGCTGTGGCAGGTGCCTTTGTTTCAAAGTCAGAATTCAAGGACTCAGGGGCCCTCCACTGCCCACCTCTAGCTGACTCAAGGCTTCCAGAATGCCTGAACTTGGAATCGTCTGTAGGTTCTTGGCAAGCCCAGGGTGGTTGGTGTGACCATAGATTACAATAGTTCCTGGGCCTTTATGTACGGAAAGAACATTCCCTGTGGCCTCTCAAGGGACAGTGTCTGTGCCCTGGGATCAGTTGTTAGCACCACGCCTGCACCAGTGCAGCCACAGAAGGTTAAGTTAATGGTGCAGAGTTGTTTTTGGTGATGACAGCACTTGATTCACATGACTTAAAAGAATCTAATGAAAGTTACATAACTTTTCCCCCAGAAGCATGCAATGTGAATGTCACCAACATTTCATATGGAATTTTCTGGATTCTCAGAAGCTTCCTTTCTTACATACCTGAAAGTCCTTGTCTACTTGGTATGAAGAAATAATCACCTTGTTTTTATGATATACTATCACCTAAAAGCATCCTCTCTAATCCTAGATTTCTTATTAAGAAAAAGCATTGCCCTTACGACCATATAGAGTCTGTTTCATTATCTCTGTAGGAAAAGCACATCCTAATGCCCTTTAGCCTGAACGTTCTGGAGATTGAGCCCAGGGTCCTGCACATGTCAGGCAGCTGTGCTACAACAAAGCTACGCCCCCAGCTCAGCCTGGCAGATCATGTGCCAAGAGTTCTTTTCATAGTGCAGTTCGGTTGGTGTAAGAATCAGATTGTTTTGTGTTCAAGAACAGACCGTGGTTGTCAGTGGGCCATGAGCAAGCTTTTTGCCTTACTAAGAGCCTGTTTCCTCACCCGGGAGAACGGCACCTTGTCACTTGTGTTTGACCTGAATCTGGCCTACAGATATTGATATGCTGGAGGAGTTTGCCTACTTAAGAACCCAGGAAGGTGGAAAGATTCATCTGGAATTACTCCCAAATCAAGGAATGCTGATCAAGTAAGCAGACGATCTTTTGCTCTTCCAAGCTGAGTGTTCAACTTCATGTGCTTGCATGACTTATTTGTAAATTTCTGTACCTTTCAGAAATTTAATGGAAAGGAATCCAAACCTGGTCTCTGTTTTCGAGGGTCAGTTTGATTCTGGGTACCTTTTGAAAGCCCTAACTACATTTCCAAAAAAACAAACAAACAGAAAAAGCTGCTTAAATTGAGATATTTTTGTCACTAGACAGAAATTTTATGATGACTTTTCTTTTCCAAAGTTTAGTATGCCTTTCTGATTAGACATAAAATTGCTTTTAATTAAAAGCAGCCATGCTTAAAGTACTGGATTAGGCAAATTTGTTAGTTAAAAAAAATCTATAGCTTTTATTTATAAACTATTTAAAGCCCCTAAGCAGGCCTTATCACTTATATAGCACAAAATGAGTTAACTGGGTCTAGTGCCTCCAGAGCATGTCTGCCCTAAGAAATGGCCGTGGAAGTTCTCATTTCCAGGCCTGAACTCATAGGCTGCTACAGAAATTCCAGCATGGCCCAGATGAAAATATCAAGTTAGTGACCATTCATGATTTTTAAATAGCTCATAAATCTTGCTTCTATCCTTAGTTCCCATTATGGTTTGGCTAGTAAGTGCCACGTGCAGTTTCCATACCTCTTCCTGTGCCTTCTGCGTATTCAGTGTGTGTGTAAGTCAGTGTCAGAGTTAACTGGCAAGAGACGGAACCCAGACTGGGAAGAACAAGTTGTTAAGACTGGTCACCTTTGCCTTCATCCCTCAGTCATGGCACAAGCAAGTGTTCAGCTATTGCCTCGTTCTGTTGTAGAGGCTCGGGGGTGTTGGAGGAAGGAGATGAGAAATACTCTCTTTGGATCTCTGTAACATCAGGAATTTGGCCCTTTGTATGTCTTTCTTTTTATTCCTTAGTAAGACTAGGGCCCTGTGGACCATTCTAAAGAATGTAAGACTAAGATCCCCTTCCATCTTATCAGTGATATTTAAATATTTTAAACATTTAAAGAACAAGGACGCTGTTTAGGAAAACACAAGGCTCTGAATAATTGAGGCTGTTAAATGAAGATTGAGTAGACAGATTTGTCTTCTGTGGACTCCAAAGATTGTGAACTAAACCTATGGGGGATGTAATAACTGCATGATTCCAAGAGTCCTCATCCTTGTGTGAAAATAAAGGTGGTTTTTAATATATGACCCCAGGTAACCCCTTTTCTGTTAGGGCTTTTAGGTTCTGAAATTGAATATACAAACATACCTTTAACAAAGCTTTTTAGTTCATCAGATCACCATTCAGGCTGGGTCTGGTGGCGCACGCCTTTAATCCCAGCACTCAGGAGGTAGAGGCAGGCGGATCTCTGTGAGTTCAAGGCCAGCCTGGTTTACATAGTGAGTTCTAGGACAGCTGGGACTACATCAAAACCCTGTCTCAAGAATTCAAAAAAAAAAAAATCACCATTCAGATTGTCATAATGTAGACAAATTAGTAGAGCCACATTCTAGCTACAGAACGGTTCAGCCAACCTGCAGATGGCCCCATGACTTTGAGATGGGGATGGACTGTTGGTGCGCAACAGTTAAACCCTCATCTTCACTGTGCTGGGCCTTCTTTTCCTAGTTTTATTGACTTAAATTGTGTCAAACTGCAGACAGTCCCTAAGACTAGTATTTAAAGTGAGGAAGTACCAGCTCCCCGGCTGCTGTCATTGGAAGGTCGTGTAAGGGGAATGTCCTTGCATTTCCAGGCTCTCCCACCCTTTTCAACCTAACTTTAATTTCCTTGAATGGCCTACTAAGGACAAGCCTCCTAGGAAATCTGCAGTTTCATCAGCTTGGAAATAGGACTAGGGGTTGTTACCTAGTGGTCTGACCTTGTAGGAATTCACTGAATGTTCTCTGTGAGAGTCTCAAGTGAATTTGAAGTCAGTTGCAGATAATCTAACCCTAAATGACATCAGGAGAGTCAGACTGCGTGAAACAGAGAGCTTGTCTAACTGAGGTGTGATTAGACTCTTGAATAAAACTATCTATATTCCTTTTCCCTTTGGGTTCCAAACAAATTCTCTGAAGCCATTGCAGACCTTTTGGGTGGTCCCTCCAGATGAGTGGCAGAGATGTTGTGAGCAGTGTACAGCTCCTCCCCTTGGGGTAAGGTTGTGAGTTTGTTCTAGTCGTGGCATCTCGGATGCAAGCAGGTACAGTACCAACACCGGGCAGCAGGCCCGACCACAGGAGGAATAAGCTCTTCGTTCATTGTATAGACATTTTGTTCTGACATGTTTGAAAGTAGAGAAATGTTTCTATGCTGATATTTGCAATACCCTAGTCGCATTAGACTGGATTAAAAATGGGAAACTATAATGCTCTATGAGGTGATTACCAGCTAATATACTAAATCTTTATTACAGAATTCTGCAAAACCACGGGTCCCAGACATATGCCCCTCCTCCCCCCACCCCCCATCAGTTGCTTTTCTTGTCTGAATTTCAAACTCACCCTTTCTTTATTGAAAGCATTCTCAGCCCCTCCAAGTCCTTTTTAAAGAGCCACCTCAGTTGGGACTTAAGTCCTGCCAAAGGTGGCTACCCCCCATCACCAGGTGTATTTCTGGGACGGGCAGGAGAAGAGCGAGTGAAGGCGGCTGGATTTGGAATCAAACGTTCTCAGACGTTAGCCTCCTGCAGCCATCTCACCTCCCTCTTCCTAGCTGATGGCTTTTTACTCCAAATCACAAGTAAATGGAGCTCTGGGACCAGGAGCCAAGATGCCTCTAGACTGGCACCAGCAGCGGGTGCGCTGGGGCTCACCAGTGTCTCCCAGTCCCCCTGAAAACACGCCACGGCCAGGGGCTTGTGGAGGTTGAAGTTTCTGTACAGTCCGCTTCCAGTCTTGTGTATCTTCTCCGGAGTGTTGTTTTTGCAGTGCAGGGTGAGCCGGTGTGGGTGTTTGAATGCTGCCGTTTGCTGTTTTTTAAAGGCCTTCTAGCCCTCCCATGGGGTTACTGCAGCAGGAATTCTTACCTGTGCTTCAGCCCAGCATACAGACTGCTGACAGGTACCAAGTGGAAAACACCTGCTCATAGTGTGCTGTTTGTCGGCATGTTCTCCGCCCATGGTTTCCAGCTCTTTGTTCCTCAGTGCTCTTCTTCATGCTTTATTTTTTTTTTTATTTGTTCCGCATTCCTTGGCAAACCATCTGGTTGTAAATATTGTAACATTTTTAATTTTTTTCCATGAGTTGCCAGTGTGTTTGTGTTGAATTTAAAAATCATTATGGATTTGGGGAAGGAAAAAGAAATGAAGTTTGATAAAACTGTGTTAGACAAAGTACACATTAGCTGAAGTGCCAAGCTGGGATTCTTTTTTGATAAAACTTAAGTATTGGGTCACGAATATTTAAGGATGCTGATTTGTACTTCAAGTAAACTTTTGTTTATGGATTTCTATATGAATGACCAGTTCTGTCTTTTGCTCTAAGCAGACATTGATACAATTTTTTCCCGCCATTCAAGGCTGGATTTTTTTCAGCCCCTACGTTTCTGAATTGGAGGTATTTAATAGACTGTCCTGATGCCATTTTATTAGCTAGGTTCTGTTCTTAAACCATAGAGTTAACTACAGTCACGTGCCACTTAACGAGGATGTCTTATGTAGTTTGCCTATTGTATGGGCGTCCTAGTGTGCACTTGACCCAGACCTAGATATTATAGCCTGCTGCACACCCAAGCTAGATGGACCAACAAGGTCCATCATTCACTGATGTGTCTTCCTATGGAGCATAACTGTAGTTGACATCGTCCTCCAAACCTAGATGGATAGAGGCTCTTTGTGCAAATAGATTTGACTTGTGCTCTCTTAATGTGTGGAAATTATCCCACTGGACCTTGACCAGCAGAGTCCAATGTTTAATTCTAGTTTTGTTAGTATTAGAGGACGTTTTGCCCTTCGACATATGACATGACACCTGGCCTGTAGATTTCAGTAACTTGTACTTGGTCCAATTTGGGGGTACAGCTTGGGGACCCAGAAGAGCAGTGTCTCAAGGCAGCATGAGCAGTGTGCATCTGCTCCCCCAGGACCCAGAGCCTTGACCTCACTGACCCCTAACAGCGCAAGTATCCACACAGAACTGTGTGTTTTCTTATAGCCCTGCTGTCTCTCTACAAAGCCCTTTAAAATGGCGGCGGGCTGGTGTGTATTCTGTTGTGTCCTCAGTGGTCTAAACCTGAAATTTTCCTACCGTCACGCTACAGTTTTAGGACTCTTGATACACTTTCAACATGATCGTGTGTTTTAGAAACAGAAATGATTTAGAGTGATTTCAACAGCTCCACTTTGCCTCGTACATAAAAGCCTTGTGATCATTTGAAGGAAATTAGGAGGTAGGGGTACGGGACAGAGGTGGCTTTCATTTGTCTAAATATGTCACATTACCAGACTAGTAGCCAGAACCCTTCCCTTGTGGTCCAGTCCACTGAGATTTGCTGGACTTTTCTTTCCCTCTGTTCATTTTGTTGTCCTCAGTTTCCAGGATTCTGTTTGTCCTTCCTGTCCTAACGCACAGCTTTTGGGGCACAGTTAGACACTTCTTGGCTTTTGCTCCCGCTAACCCTTCCACAGACATGCAAACACCTGGACAGATCTGTTCTTCCCAGCCCATGACACATCCCCGTGTGAGGTCCCCAGGCCCCCTGCTTTTTCTCCAGTGGGCAGGACAGGTCCAGCACTCAGGAGCTGCCCTGTTCTGGCTCCATGGGTGTGGGGATGCACTCAGCCGTGGGGGCCCCACTGGGTTGCTCCTTGGAGACTGGGGCATGCTAGGTCCCTTCTTCCTGCTGCTGCCTCTCCAGCATTTGCTGACCTGGAGGGATTTTGGCACCTTGAGACCACATGGGACCCAAAGCACCTCTAGCCCCTGAGTCGTGTGAGCTTCAGGAATTCAGAAGCAAAGCAGATGGCATGTCAGCCAGTGTTTCGCTGTTTGAAATGACGTAGTCTGGGGTGGGAAAGCTGTCTGCCTAGGGTTGAGACTTCCTGAGAATGGGCGTGGTCATTGTAGCTTTTCTTTTTTCTTTTTCAATTTGGTTTAAGTGTGTCACTTACTACACTTAGCTGTGAGGCAGGGTTGAGTCCTACCCAGGGAACACTGGTCCATGACGCTGCTCCTAACCCTGTTCTCCCTCTGTTTCCCTGTCACTGACCTCAGGCACCACACGGTCACTCGGGGCATCACCAAAGGCGTGAAGGAGGACTTCCGCCTGGCCATGGAGCGCCAGGTCTCCCGCTGTGGCGAGAACCTGATGGTGGTACTGCACCGCTTCTGCATTAACGAGAAGATCTTGCTCCTCCAGACTCTGACTTGACCGAGGCCTCTGGGCCACTGGCAGCTCAGCTGTGTGACTCTGAGGAAGACATGGCGGTGCAGTGCTGGGGGCCGGGGCTCAGGAAGAGGGAAACACCTGAATTCTAACTCTTTGTGTTGTTTAAAAGTAGTTTCCCAAGAGTGTGAGAAGTCCTTTCTATTCTTAAAAGTTCAGGTTTTTGTAACTTTTATAAAGCAAGAGTCGATTTGCCTTGTAAATAAAAATCCTAAAATTTGAAGTTTTAAAAACTTATTTTTAGTTTCTAAGTAGGGTACATTTGTCTATTTTTCTAAGCATAGAGCAAGGGGGCAAAAATCCAACACAACTGAATAGAAACATGAATTTTGTTATGTACGTACTTAAATGCCTGAATATGTCTTCCACGATCTCACATGTATTTTCATAGTTACACTTTGGTAAGTATAACATAGCAACAGAACGTCTGACCTTTTGTTTTATGCAAAATGGACTTTGAGCCTACCCTGTCCCTGCTGAGTCCACTGAAGGCTCAGTGCTCGAGAGTCTTTGAAAAGCCAGACGGTGATTGTAGCATAGCAACAAAGGACCAGGGGAGCCTCCAGCTCCCGGGCCTGGGCAAGGCAGCCAAGTAGACTCTCCAGGGCCTTTGGAACCAGACAACACTACTTGTTATCGACCTGGCTCTGCCCTGCCCTGTATTTTGACTGAGTGACCAAGGATGTTTGTGTACACATGTGCACACATGCGCACACACAGCAACCATAATTATTTTTTCTAGGTACTACATACTGCCACCGACTAGGTTGTTTTGCAAGTGTTTTCTTAAAAGGACAGACATTCTTATTTCCTCCCAAAGTGACCCTGTGTATCCTTTGAGTCTTACTCAGCCTACTGAAGCACTGGCCTTAGATAAGGGATTTTCTTGCTAAATCAACTTCTGTGGTGTGCGTGTCACCCGATGATTGGTGTGTTAAAAAAAGCTTGGTCGTAGCTTTGTATGAATTTAATGTTTCGTGCATTTAAAGATGTCTTGTTCAGAGACTCTCAGTAGAGATTTCTGTTTGTTTAGTATATTTATTCTGCCTGATGATAGTCTTTATAGGTCCCAGTATGTTTTAAAACTGCTGAAGAACACGATTGGTAACCTGGGAGAAAAATAAAGTGATTTCATTATTTCAATATCATTGTCCTTATTTTACTAATAAAAGAGGAACAGCTCAGTTGAATCACACAGTGGTTGTTTGTGTGGAATAGTTAAATGTTACTTCCTTGAATCACATTGCAGGGTCACCGTTAGCACAACAGACACTTTTGTCAAGTAATGGTCTTATGGTAAGTTGTCCCCCCACCCCCCAAGAGAACTGACTGATTACGAAGAGTATGCCACTGTTTGAACCACAACTTGAAGTTACCTAGCCAGAGCCTCAGAATCCTGCTTGTCAAGAGGTAGTACCACTGTTCCAAGGCCTAGAGATTACTTTTCCGGTGTCCTCAGTAGACACCTGGTCTCGTGGCTCTGCTGTCAAGCCCTGAAATGCTCTTAAGCCACGTGTGCAGGAAAACACTGAGAGGACAGCTTCCAGTCGGTATGTCGTCGGCTCACTTTGCATTGCCTCAGCAGCTGAATTAGTAGCCAGGATTCTGTCTTGTTGACAAAAGTAAAGGACCAGATAGCAGTGTGAGCAGTCCAGCAGGGCCAAGGGATCTTGTTTTCTAAAAACAAGTCAAGCTACAGAGAGTGGTGACGTGTATCACAGATGCCACTTGCTCTTGGTCTTCCAGCATCTGTCTGCACATGTCGCTTTTTTTAATTGCATTTTTATGATTTCCATACAATGTAGTTTGATGGTATTTAGATGCCCTCCCCATCCACATCTCTTTCCTCTGACCCACTCCCAATTTAGTGTATTTTCCATATATATATAAATATATATATATTCCTATAGATTGATTTATGTCCCCCAGTGTCCTTCAGTGTGGATCTATCCACTGGCCCACTAAGAGTCCCCTCCCTGTAAGACACTGTCCTTCCCTCTCCCAGCAGCCATCAATTGCTAGAAGTTCCTTAGGTTGGATCGGGATTTCTTAACCACTTCCTCATGTCTCTAGTGAGATTTTGTCTGGTTTGAGCTTACGTGGGACGGGTGTATGTTGTCATCATTGCTGTGATACATTTCATTTCTATCTTGCCCTTTGTTGTCCCTTGTAGAATTCTGTATTTGCCAGAGGGAAGGAAATCATAGTGAACTCTTTATTGAAGAGTTGATGGTGTGTATTGGAGGTATAAGGGTAAATAACATACCCAAAGAACTCGGGCATCCAGGCTGGACATTTATTTCTGTTTCCTGAAGTTTCTTTCTTGACTTTGCTACCAAAAAGAGGTTAAGGAGTTTCCTCTCTCCTCCCTTCCCCTGTCTCTCTCTCTCTCTCTCTCTCTCTCTCTCTCTGCATAGATAGGTATAAAATTGTGAGAACATTAACATGAGATCCAACTTTGAATTTTGACATGCACTCTACAGTGTATGATAGATTCTAGAAGCTCTCCTTATGCATAGTATGTAGATCTTCATGTATGTGTGTATATATATATATATATATATATATATATATATATATTATTTTTATGTATATATATATATA